GCATCCTCTCAGTCATAACAAAAAGAAGTTTTAGAAAAGGGCAGTCCATAATAAATGTATGAACTTCTGTGGTCTTCTAAATCTAGTTCAAGAAAAATACACTGAAAGCAATTTGCATTCACTCATGGCTAACAAAACCCTTTTTGATRTTATTGGAAAAGAGTGAAGTTTAATGTTGAGAGCTAACTATCATCAAATTCAAAGGCAGGGCTATGTGTGCAGAAGTCCTCCTTCTGTGTATGTGATTGTTCCCCCAGCTGGCTCATGAAATGGTGCCTTAGACATCCATGCTGGAGCTGTTGGTCGTTTACTCGGTCAGGTTCTCAGTTCTGGGGACATGAATCACAGATGACCGAGTTCTGTATTTCCTATCTGCTCTTAAATACGTGATTACACGGCATACATTCATTCATCCAGCTGAGAGCACCGTCCCCTCTGTGGGCAGCAGCCCCAGTCCCTGGCTGTGCAGCAGGGGCTGATGTCAGGGGAGTGCTGGAGCTGTCATTGTCACTGCCCTGACAGCACTCAGCCCCGAGCTGTGCTGCTGGCACTCGCTACACCATCTACAGTCACTGCTTCGGAGCTGGGGAACGAGGGACAGGCGGGTCTTTGAAACCAGGGATGAGTAGGGAGAGGTCCCACAGATCATGCCACAAACAATAACCTCACAAGTCCAGCTGGAAGAGGAATCCACTACTCCCACACACTTGGCCATTTCAGCAAGCCAAGGAGCCAGCAGGCGCTTTCTGCTGCTCACATTTGCCATGTTTGGGAAGTCAGAGCACGCATGGGCTGCTCCATGCTGTGCCCACGCAGAAAAACATGGCCTGCATTCCTGAAGCCATCTTCTGCATTCCACRAGCCATCTTCTTCAGTGCTCCGGAAACACACTGGTGAAGGCTGTATTTCTCAAAGGGATACAGATAAAATAGACCACATCTAGTGTTTTGATTTTTTTTTTTTTTGTGAATTTTCCATCAAACCCTATGTTTAAAGTAGTTTCAGCTCCTTCTCCACAGGTCCACAGCTCTTCACCAGTGAAACAATCTAGCAGCTGCTTTGAAAGTTCCTTTGAGTCCTGTAAGGAATCTCATTTTGAAGATATGATTATCTCGAAAGGATCCACAGCCTCCAAATATGCTGTGTTCTGACAACAAAAATTATTCATTTTTATTCCCATTCTCTGAATGCTCCTATTTGTTACAGTTTCCATGAAGGACTGTCACCAGCTGGCTGGAGACAAACAGCATTTTTCACTAAGCCATGACTGGCTGCCCCTCTCCGGTGCTGAAAGCAATGAGTTCCTCTCTGGATTCCTCTCTGGATTCCTCTCTGAATTCCTCTCTGGATTCCTCTCTGAATTCCTCTCTGAATTCCTCTCTGAATTCCTCTCTGGATTCCTCTCTTTATTCCTCTCTGGATTCCTCTCTTTATTCCTCTCTGGATTCCTCTCTGGATTCCTCCCCAGTCTCCAGTGACTCAGAGGGCCACTTGCCCTTTGTAGCCCTGCTGTTGCTTCTCAGTGTGTCGTACCAGTATAGAGGGCAATTATAGGGAAAGGACAAGATCTCATTTGAAATAGAAGATGATATATGATGTTTGTTGATGTACATGYTTGAAAGACATTAACTTAACCTTCACCAGCGATTGGTTAAAATAAATCATGCAAGGACTGGACTGATGTCCTTAGTAGTGATACTGAGACTTTGTAGAAGTTAGGAAGGAATATTAGGAAGCACCAATTTTATGCAAGGTAAGAAATAGAGTTATAAATTTGTAATCCATACATTCTAAGACAAAAAAAAAACCAATCAAATTCTTTCTCCCCAAAGCCATTTGAGGTATTTCATTCACACTAACACAGTGATGCTGCCACTGTTGTTTAAAATGCTCACACTTTAATGTGAGTGTATGCTAACAGTTATAAAAGACAAGAATGGATTTTAAAAAATGTTTGCATTATAGAAATGATGACAGGTCTTGCTCATTAGTTATGCAGTCATTAGGCAAATTTGACAAATCTTTATTCCTCACATCTGAGCAATGTTCAGAAACACTCTCTGTAACTACTTCTTACGAAGTGGGGGGGCAGCAGCTTTGGTATTTTTAAACAACAGAGTAGTCTCTGCTCTTCTTTATCCTTCCCAACAAAGACCATTTGGGGAATGGATAAATTTCCTGGAAATCACACACTTGTCATGTAGGAACTAAAATTTTGGGAAAGAGAATGCCTTTGTGAATTTTGTGTGCATTCACAGCAGAATCTCTGACTTGAAAGGTAAAACCTTTMGTAGGAATGCACCTGATTGAACACAGTTTAATCAAGGAATTGTGGTGTTGATTGCTGTCAAAGAATATCCAAAGACAAGAATTCATGAAATGCCTATAAAATTTGATTTGCCATAAACAAAACATAAATCAAGATTTATCAAAGAAATAGTTCCAAATTATTATTCCTTGCTTACACTACTAGARTCTGGGGGTTCAGCACCATCCCCTGAAGGGTTTGCCTTTTGAGCCTTGTAACAGAGCACCGAAGGCTGTGGGCTGTGCATGGTGCTGACACTGCATTCATCACAGTTGTCAACAAAGCAATGTGTGGAGCAAAAAAATGAGCCAACAGTAGAGGTCAGACAYGAACTGTAGATTTCCTCTCCAGATTTCTTGCCTGAACAATTCATGCYGTTTACTGAACACCCAAAAATATCTGGGGCAGCTGTGCCAAAACAGCAGTGGATAGCAGAAGCAGGAAAGAAAATGAGCCTTCTTTCCAAAATGAGACAAAGCAAAAATCCAGATACTAAGAGTACTTCCATGGGAAGGTTAAGTACAAATGAATAACACTTGTTTTTTTCTGCAAATAACATAGAGGTCCCCCAGCAACTTGCTCCCGTGTCTGTTGGCTGGTACGAAAAGGTCAGTATCTCATGGGAAAAAAACCCAACCAAACCCCAAAATCACCAGCTAGGACCTGGCTTCTGGAGAGTTAGCTTTACCACTTGCTGGTTTTGACTACCCCTTGGTAAAGTTGTTTGGCATGTTGGCTCATTTGAAGAGAGGAAGGTTTTAGTCCTGCTGTATGTGACAGCTGGAATACATGATGCACCAACATGCTGAACTACTCAGGTTGCCCCAAGATTCATCTGCTTTTGTGATCAACATTTAAAAATACTTAAASAGTAGCTACATAAATTAGGTCAATGCTTAAGACAAAAGGGATAACCTGGATTTTCATGGCTGAGAATTAACATGGACTAATAAACTACTGTTTGATGGCAATTTGAAAAGGAAGCATTTAGTCACYCATTGCAAGTGAGGACACTCCGCAATACCATTCTTCTTTAAGTGCAGCTGCCTAGGACATTCACTTAATGTAGCAACTGCATTTGAAGGGCTGGGATTTGGACTGAAAGAAATAACCATCCATGGTCTCAAAAATGTGCTTTGAGTTGCAGATGGGAACCAGACAATCAACAAAATGCATTGAATTTTCTAGGCCTGCTTTCCAACTGTGGTGCATTATACCTGGACGAGGCAAGAGTTCAGTTACCATTTTACTGTCATATGTTTGGGAAGCACTAAGCACAATGCCCCTCAGCCATGGCTTTTTTCCCATACCTAGACAAAACATCCAGCACCTGAGCCCCCAGCCCTGCATCTCTGCTGGGGATTTAACAGCTATGTGTGTGAAACATCCTTGTGGCCACTGCCCTCCTCCCCTAGATGCGACCTAAGGCAAGCAGTTGGCTGAGGCCAGCAAGGACTAGCCCTGCCTCAGTCCCCACCTTGGTCCCTACCTTGGCTGCCTTCCCTTTCCTCGCCCCTGGCAGGGGTTATCCTGCTCGGGGCACTCTGCTGCCCTTAGGGCTAATTAACGCCTCYCACAACTGCAGCAGCCGCTACGGACGGCGAAGGAGAATGACCTGTGCCGAGGAGGGCAGGGGAGCGGTGAGGGGGGAACGCTGCTGCCCTTCGGCTTTTGGGGCGGCGGGAGCAGAGTGTGCTCCCCGGGGCGCCCGGGACAGCGGGCATGGGTCACACACCCAGAGTGTGCTCCCCGGGGCGCCCGGGACAGCTCC